TCAACTGATGAGCAAAGAAAATGTGGTACATGTATATCCACAGAAGAGACTATTATTCAGCAAAAAGAATACTAAAATAATAAAAAGAATGCACTGATACATGCTACTAAATGGATGATCCTTGAAAACATACAACCTACCAGAAAAAATTGTATGATTCCATTTATACAAGATGTTCAGATGTCTAGAACAGGCAACTCCATAAAGAAAGAAAATCCTAACAGCCTGATTAGATGGGAGGTAAAACAGAATGAAGAATGACTTTCAAAGGGTTTGGGTTTCTTTTGAGGATGATGAAAGTGTCTTAAAATTAGATTGTAGTGAGTGTTAGACAACTCTCTGAATATACTAAAAAGTCATTTAATTATACATGCTAAATGGGTAGACTGTATGATAGATGAATTATGTATCTCAATAAAGCTATTTTAATGGCAATGTACTTCACTATTAAATTTAATCCTAGCTACTCAGGAGGCAGCAACCAGGAGGATTGCAGTTGGAAGCAAGCCCAGGCAAACAGTTTGAGAGAACCTATCTCGAAAAAACCAATCACAAAAAAGGACTAGTAGATTGGCTCAAGGTGTAGGCCCTGAGTTCAAGCCCCAGTATCACAAAAAAATAAAATAAGTTTAAAAACTAAGTCTTAAATACCAATCAGACCAAATGCTAACTGAAATTACCCAGAAACCAAAATGAGCAAATGACTTCTACAAGTAAATAATATAAAACAAGAGTGGAGATACAGAGCTGGGATTTGAAAAATGAAAACATGAGCCAGGTGTAGTGGTGCACACCTGTAATACCACCACTCAGGAAATGAAGGCAGGGGGATCTCAAGCTCCTTAGCTACACAGTGAGTTCCAGACCAGCGTGAGTTACATAGTGAGACCCTGTCTCTCAAATTAAGAAAAACAGAAAGAAAGAGAGAGGGATAGAAAAGAGAAAGTATGAAGTTATTATTCATGAGTGATTTACAATCAAAATTGTAGTATTTGGACTACAAAACAGGAATCAATTCTACTTTAAAAACAGAACAGTGCTGGTGGAGTGGCTCAAGTGATAGATAGCCTGCCTAGCAAGCATGTGGCCCTGAGTTCAAACTCCAATACCAAGAAAAAAACACAGTACAGATCCTAAAATCTTACAGGCCTCTTTCCAAAATTAGGATTTGCTGAGCTGAGCAAGAGGCACAACTGGTAAGAACATTTGCCCAGCATGTTTGAAGCCCTGGGGTTCAATCCCCAGTACTAAAAGAGAAAAAAAAAAAAAAAAAAAAAATGGAAGAAAATTAGTACTTGCAGCTAACAAAATAATTTTTCAGATGAAAATAGAAGAGATGGCTGTTTTTCCAAAAGAATTTGCTAAGTAACAGCCTCCATATGTATGGATATGCTTAGGCCTTTCAGAACTACAACGAAAAAGAGAAGCATTCCTTTATGATATATAGGGATAGACCAACACTGCATGTGTGGTCCAAGAAAAAAATGAGAATAGCTATTTAATGAAAAGTCAAGCTACAGTGACTCCTCAAATGAAAAGATCTAAGACTGAAAGAATAATTTGGTATCACAGGAAGGAAGAAAGCAAGTAATGATACATAAATAATAGTTGACAAAGGAAATAGGTTAGGCAATGTAGCCAAATGGATTTTTTCAAAGAGTTGGACTTTTAGGGATGGATATGCTAATCTGCTCTCTGCTATCAACTTGTGTTATTCTCTGTTCTTTAGTTTCTTGATTAGAAAGTCTATCTCAGAACAGCTAAGAATCTGTTAACCCTAAAAATTCTATCTTGAGCGAGGCATCATTAGCTCACACCTGTAACCCTAGCTACTTGGAAAGATGAGATCAGGATCACGGTTTGAAGCCAGCCCAGGCAAATAGTTCTTGAGACCCTATTTTGAAAATATTCAACACACACACACACACACACACACAAAGGGCTGGCAGAGTAGCTCAAGTGGTAGAGCACCTGCCCAGCAAGCATAAGGCCCTAAGTTCAAACCCTAGTACCACCACAAAAAAAAAAAAAAAAAAAAAAATCCTACCAGGAAAAATAGAAGAAACAGGAAAGTCATATTATAAGGAGAGGTAAAGGAGTTTGTGATTTACAGTTGAGGGTGATAGTGGAAGAAGGCCTACTGCCTTAATCAAACCTATTTAATGACTATGATGGAAAAACAGGAGATAATAATAATGGAGGTTCATGCAGGGTAAAGCTTGGGCTCTGAAGCATCAAGCCTGTGCATGCAGCTGCCTCTGAATGGGAGAAGGAAAAAAAGTGAGATCATCCTCCATGACTATTAGCAGGGTTGAGCTAGACTAAATACACACAATGCGTACTTCTTGTGTTATAGGATATGCAAGGGATTAAACTTTGAGAGTAAGATTTAGGATTATCTCACAAAGAAAAGAAAAAGCCAGATATTAAAGTCCTCTAATAATGATACAGAGAGTCAAGAAAAACAACTAAAACTGGAAGGGTCATGCAGTGATGCTCCAACTTTTTTTTTACAGGGTCCCCTTAGGGCAAAAGACCCTAAAAATCCCACGTTCCAGTCATATTGATGAAGAAAACTTTAAGGTAATATTAGAAAATTTTACTCAAGATACTAGAAAATTAAAGTCCAAAATTCAGTTGGCATAAATAAATATTACTATTTGGTTGAGGGTGAACATAATAATAATAATAATAATAAACCACAGTAAACTAAATTGATAGCACTAAAGTCATTTATCATATAAAACAAAAACAATAGTAACTCAAGACAACATTGATGGTACTTCTGATACGGAATCCTTTCCAAAAACTCTGATAATCCCAACTGCTCCAGTGGGAGCTCTGCTAAATTGCCAGTACAGCTCAGCAGCCAATTTTCTTAATAGAACACAGCATCCTCAGTAACTCTAATAACATTTTATTTTATGAAAACCAAATTATTAATAGCCACTAATAATGCACTTAGAATACTAGTAAGTAACTCTAAGTTTTTATAAAAGTAAAGACTATAAAATGAGAATCATTGGCCATTAACAACTTAAGAAAACAGGAAGAGAGAGGACCATGATGGTTATGTTCTAACGCAATAGAGAGCAGGAAGCAACTGTGTGGAAGAACTGGCCTAAAAAGGGAGCCCAAAGGTGATACTGGGGTTTGAACTCAGGACCTTGCACTTGCTAGGCAAGCCCTTTACCACTTAAGTCATAGTCCCAGCCCAGAGCCAAAAGGCACTTTAAAAGGACATGGGGCCCAGCACTAGTGGCTCAAACCTATAATGACACCTACTCAAGAGGCAGAGATTAGGAGGATGATGGTTCCAAGTCAATCCAGGCAAATAGTTTGAGACACCTTATCTCAAAAATACCCAACACAAAAAAGGGCTGACTCAAGTGGTAGAGTGCCTGCCTAGCAAGCGTGCAGCCCTGAATTCTAACTTCAGAACCACCAAAAAAAAAAAAAAAAAGAAAGGACAGAGCCTGGGGATGTAGCTCAGTGGTAAAACACTTGCCTAACACTTGACAGGCCTTGGGTTCAGCCCCAGCTCCACAGAAAAAGAAAGGTGGGTGGGAGGCAAAGGACAAAAGGCAAATTCCTAAGGACAGTTATTCCCAGGGATGGCACTGAGAAAACTGTGCGAACAATGTGCTGTGCTAACAATGTGCCTGAAAGAAGGAAGACGCTGCAGGTGGAGATGCTGAGTAAAGTCTCCAGCCTGCTCTTCCCTAAGTCACTCTTTCCTGAGGCAGCTCTCCCTGTGAAAAGTTCGCGGCGAGGAGTAACACTTTTTTTGAAGGTTAGCTCAGTGGCCCAAGATTGTACTAGGAGGGTTAAGTAATTATCTACGTTTTGGCTGCATGGGAGATCAGAATGTACCTCAGGAAAAGTGAGGATGGAATAATTCTAGGCACCAGGAAACTGAGGGGAAAGTAGCTCAAAACTGGGCTTGGTGACCAAGTATCAACAGGAAGTAGAGTAGCTGATAATCCCCAACTGAGATAGAACAACAGCAGCTGGAGACATTGCTGGTAGTGGAATGGCTGCCTTAGCATGCTGCAAGACATTGGGGTTGGAGCTCCAACAGAGAGACAGACAACTGGATTCAGGCTGCCTGAGTAGGAATCAAGACACTTAACTTTCTCTGTGACCACAGGTAAAGCCACTTAACCTCTCTGTGACTCATCTGAAAAACGACAGTGATAATAATACCTACCTAGTAGAATTGTTTTATGGTTTAAGTTATATTTGTAAATCACTTAACACAATGTCTTGATAACAAGTGCTACTTAAGTCTTGTTGACAAAGGTCGTAGTTTGACATCTCCAAATAAAATGGAAATGTACGTGCAAAGTAATGGTAAATGGGGGGCGGGATAAATTTTCCTCTGTGATGAGAATGTCTTGAAGCTGCATCTTGGGGAGAGGTCGTCCTCCTAACAGAGTTCAAGGAGCACCAGCGCTTAGGAGACAGGCACCGGCTGAAGGAAACTTCCTTCCAGGGCCTAGGATTTTCAGGGAGTCGGTTTCTGGGCAGTAGTCGTGATACGGAAGCAAGAGTTTAATTTGGAGCAACAGATCGTGGAGTGCAATTCTGCTCCGTCTGTCTGAACAGCAGGACGCACAGCTAGGGCAGAATGGGGTTTGAGTCGGAGAAAGAAGGGTGACGTCCCCAAGGGCAAGATCTGCCACCATCTGTCGGGCGATCCCTTGCTCCCCGACGCTGGGCTAGCCTCGTAGAGAGAGCAGAGCCTGCCCCGCCCCTAGCTGGCCGGGGAGTCCCCTAAGTAACCGGCTGTGAGGCGCGGTCGGTCGGTAAAGGACCCCACGTCGGGGCTGCGCAGGGAGTCCCGCCTCACCCAGATGCAGGTCACTAGTGGGTCTCTCCAGAGGGAGGAGCAGGCGCCGGTCGGGTGATGGCCAGCCATCACAGATCCAAAGGAGCCTGCCGGGGTCCCGCCCGTGCCCTCCTGGGCCCTCCTGCCCATGGCCCGGTACCCAGGATACCTGAGCGTGGGCCCGATGCAGGCCGTGTCGGTGCTCTCGATTTCTCGCAGGATCCGCTCGTGTTCTGCCGCCGTCTCCAGGCTCTCCGCCTCCGCCATCTTACCCCGCTCCATAGACTGGGGGCGCCCGGCAGCCTGTCCCTTCCTTCAGCTCCGCTCACCTTTCGCTCCCTCACGCTCCCTTCTCCCACCCCAGGCTCCACAGTCGCCCCAGCCTCCAGCAACCCGCAGGATGACCCCTCCCTCTGAATCGACACGCCCCCTTACGTCATCTCGTCCGCGGCGTTCCACGCAATGTTCGCTGGGACTTGTAGTTCTCTGTGCAATGCTGGGCTGGGTTCCGTTCATTTATTCACTGAATCCACGAAAACATGTTGAAAGTCCACTATAAGCGAGCAGCACTTAATGACACTGATCAAGTCAATCAATGACGCTAACCATATAAATCCTTCTTAGCACCTTTACCACGAAGTGCAAAAGGCTCCATATGCACGAAAAACGACTAACTAGATGTGCCTGCACTGTAGTGGAGGAGGGCGGCAAGCTGGAGAACCTCGAACTATGACATGAGGCAGAATGTGGCTAAAATCTGGTTCAGGGGATCGAATCCATGGATTGCTGCTGACTGGGAAGGAAAAGATGTGACTACAAATAAGAAATTAATTTCACTAACATGTAAAGAAGTAGTAATAAGAAATTAAGCTGAAAAGATACCTTGGAGAGTAGTTGCGAAGAGTCTTAAATACCAGGCAAATAGATTTGTACTTTATTCTGATGATTCCACTGATCCAAAAACTAGCTGCATCAGAAGCACCTGGAAGCTTTAAAAAAAAAAAAAACAGGCCAAAGGCCCTACATCTGGAGGTTCTGATCCAGTCGTCTGCATGTGGTAAACACCCCTGGAATGCAATTTAAAAATCAGTGCGTACTGTTTTACTAACACAATGAGTGGGAACTCATTGAAGATGTTTTAGAAGAGGAGAATGACATAATCAGATTCTCAGCCTTAGGAAATTTGATCAATGTTAAGTGCACAAGATGTACTGAGATAGAGAATCTGGAGACAGACACTATGGAAGAAGTTAAAGCCTGAACACAGAAAGCATCAATGAGAATGAAAAAAAAAATGGACAAATAGGAAAAGAATTCTAAAAGGGGAATTGTCAGGATTTACTGGATACAGGATGAGTAAATTGGGTTATTACTTCAAGGTTAGCAGCCAGAGCGAGTAGGAGAATAGTGTTGCATCAACCAAAAAAGACGTGAGAAGAATCAAACTGGATGTTGAGACCCATACTATGGATTATTATACAGTCATTAAAAAGAAAGTGAAAACTCTATACTCAGATATAAAATTGTCTCTAAATTGTAGTGTAGTGGTGAGTGGAAAAACCAAGTCATGAAACAATATATAGATTAAGTTCTCATTGTTTTTTAAGAATAAATATTCAGCCTGGGCAGGGTGGTACAGATCTGTAATCCCAGCATTTAGGAAGCTGAGGCAGGAGGAATAAGAGTTCAAGTCCAGTCTGGGTTATATAGTGAGAACCTGTCTCTCAATAAATAAATAGTAGATAGGTAGATAGATAGATAGATAGATATAGATATAGATATATAGATATATAGATATACTTACATAGACATAAAATATTACAGAGAGAGAATGTTTCTGAAAGGATATCCAAAAACTTATTAATAGTCATGGTAGTCAGGAGAAGAGTTGGAAGGAAAAGGCTTAAAGTAGAAAAAAGGCAATTTAGTTTGGCTTGTGCATGTATTGCTTTTTTGATCAAAATACTAATGGTTAACTAAAAATACATTTTAAAAATAAACAAACCAGTAGTGAGGAGAATGGTTACAAGCCCAGGTTTGCAGGAACAGAGCAAGTTGCTAAACCTGTCTGTTTCTAGGTAATCCCTGCCTGTCCTTATTTCCATTTCCATTACTCATGCTTAAACAATTTCAGACAAAGATAGGAGTGGAGGGAAAGTATTGAACCTTTCATATTTCTAAAGATCTCTTGAAATATATGCAGAGAAAGAGAGGGAAAGTAGTGAGGGACTGGTATAGGAAAGATCCAGTGAAGATGGACTGCCTACTCTTATATCAAGTCAGTGTGGAGCAGCCAGAAAAGCACTGGACTAAGAAAGCAGCACTGGGGTTTGAACTCAGGCCTCACACTTGCTAGGCAGGTGCTCTTATCACATGAGCCACTCTGCCAGTCCATTTTTGCAATGGGTTTTTTCGAGGTGTGGTCTTACTAATTATCTGCTGAGGACTGGCTTCCAACCATGATCCTCTAGATCTCTGCCTCCTGAGTAGCTAGGATAATAGGTTTGAGCCACTGGCACCAGATAAATCCCTTTGATTCAGTTCCAGCCTCAGTAGTTCACAGATGCCTGTATCAGAATATCCAGACATACTACGTTGAATCTTTGTGTGTGTGTGTATATATATATATATATGCATATACATATGTATTTTTTTAAGAAAAACAATTAGGGGTGTGGTTCAGTGGTAAAGAACTTGCCTAGCATGCAAGAGGCCCTGAGTCTTATCCCTAGCACTGCAAAAATGGAAGCCAGGCAGGGTGGCACACACCTGTAGTCTCATCATTTGGTAGGCTGAGACAGGAAGATGGCAAGTGCGAGGCCAGTATGGGCTAAATAGCGAGACCTTGTCTAAAAAAAAAGAAAGAAAATTTTGCTCTTTGGCTCAGTTTTCTTCCTCATCCCATTCCCTGCTGTCATTCTCTCCCAACAATCTGACCTCAGGGATCTTACTGTCCTAAGTTGTCCACATAAGCAATGTGTTCATGGTGTCACCCTTTACTTTATTAGTCCATAAACAACTCAGCACTGCAAAAAAATATATTCCAGAAACATTGCTCCAGCCCCAAAACTATAAAACTGTGAAATTCCTCTCTCTGACTTTTGCAATTCATCTCTAACTCTGTCTAAATTTTATGGAATCTGCACTTTAATCCTGATCTTCATTCCTGGTTTCTATGTATATTAGCATTTTCCCCTTCTAGCCTGGATTTTCTTCTTTCCAACATTCCAATGCAAAGAGATTTGATTCCAAGGTTCTCCATTAATCATCAAGTGAATTTGGGTGAATTACAGGGCTTCCTTGAGCTGCAGTTTCTTAATATGTAAAAAGAGGTTTATAATCTATACCTCAGACAATTGTAAGAATCAGAAATAATTGGCTGGGGTTATATCTCAGTGGTAGACTGCACACTTAGCACACCAAGGCCGTGGGTTCAATACCCAAAACAAAAAGAAAAGAAGAAAGAATGTAAAGGGTTCCCACCAGTTTAGCAGAAAATTAGTTAGCTGCTACCTGCATGTATTCCCATGAGCCTCCAATTTGACCAAACCTTTTTTAATTCTGTAGCTTCTTTAACATCTTGATCTTTCACTATACCACATTACCATTCTCTCCTTTTTCTACTGTAGTTGGGGAGGGGGTGTTTAACCATGACAACTAGCACCATAACACATTTCTGCTGCACTATATCATTTGGGCCCTCAGGAATATCATTCATCCTTTGACTTGTATTCCTGCTCACAGCATCCATTTATAACCCTTTCTTCTTACTTAAGACCTTAGCTCTGCTTCTCCTCCTCTCCCTCCTTCTTCTTCTTCTTGGTACAAATGTGGATTGAAGTTAGGGCCCTCACTGGGCAGGTGCTCTGTCACTTGAGCCATATCTCCAGCCCCTTTAACTAGTTATTTTTCCAATAGGATCTCAAATTTTTTCCTGGGCTGACAGGGACCACAATCTTCTTCCCATGTTAACTGAAAGAATAGGCATGCACCACAATCCCCAGTTTGTTGGCTGAGATGAGAGTCTTGCTAAATTTCTGCCCTGACTGCCCTGGAATTGCAGTCTTCCTGACCTCAGCCTCCCAAGGAGTTGGGAATATAGAAATGAGCCACTGCTCCCAGCCCCCATCCTTCTCACACCTTTGTGTCCCATTTCATCGATAGGACCACCACCCATCATTAAATTCTCATCTTCCCTTCCCTTTACCATCTTCACATGCAACTTCTTCTCATCTTCTGTGTAAGAGGAGATCCCAATCCTTCCCAAAAGCAAATTCCCTTCTGGGAGAAGCTCTTTTCCATCTCTCTGTGACAGTTTTTGCAATTGTCTCCCTTCCCTCTTACAGCTCCAGACTTCCCTTGTTTTATTGTTTGTTTATTTGTTTGTTTTTTGCAGCACTGGGGTTTGAACTCGGGTCCTCGTGCTTTATAGGCAGACACTCTTACCACTTGAGTCACTCTGCCAGCCTCTTTTTTGTGGTGGGTTTTTTCAAGATAGGGTCTTGTGAACTATTTGCCTGGGCTGGCTTTGAACCATGATCCTCCTGATCTCTGCCTTCTGAGTAGCTAGGATTACGGGCATGAGCCATCAGCACCTGGCTCCTTGTTTGCTTTACTTAGTAAACACATGCTTGAGCCTTTCCAACTAAAAATTACCCTGTCAGCTTTGCTTCCCTGAGCTATGCCAGTCAGTTCCTCCATTCCCTTCACTGCTTGGTAATAGATTTCACCAACTCCTTTAGACTACCCACCTGCTCTTTAATGTCTTAACTCAAGTCACTACTGGGAAACAACTTGGCAAAGGTGATTCTGAAGTTTCTTTTTTTTCTTTTTGATGATTTTTTTGGGGGGGGGCTGAACTCAGGACCTCATGATTGCTAAGCAGGAGCTCTACCACTTAGCCACTCCACCAGTCCTTTCTTATGTTGGGTATTTTCGAGATAAGGTCTCAAGACCCATTTGCCTGGGGCTGGCTTCAAATCTCAATCCTCCTGATCTCTGCCTCCTGAGTAGGTAGGATTACAGGCGTGAGATGCCAGGTGTGGTGGAAGTACACCTCTGACTCAGGAGGAAGAGATAGGAGAATCACAGTTCAAGTCCAGCCCAAGCAAAAGCATGAGACCCTATCTGCAAAACAAACTGAAAGCAAAAGGGCTGGGGTATGGCTCAAGTGATAGAGCATTTGCCAGACCCTACCAATCCCCAATACTAAAGGGAAAAAATGAATGAATGAATGAAAGACATGCTGAACAGAGCTGTACAGCCTACATAGAAATTGCATAGCCACCTCAACTGATCAAACTCATAAGTGAGAAACAACTGCTTTTGGTTGTGTGCCACTGCCTTTGGGTTAGTTGGTTGCAAAG